GGGTTGTTGGTTTTTTGGAGTTTCATTTTTTTTAGGGGTTACTTAGTTGTTACTTGAAGTTACATGGAACTTGTCATTTTCACTAGTATTTGCCTATTTCCATATTTGCTTGGAGCACCTTTGCCTTGCAAACACCTGTCTGTGCAGCACAAGTACAATTTATTCCTTATACACTGATGGTGTGTTCGGTTGTGCCTCACCGCCAGCCAAAGTCTAGCGGTCTGGATTCCTCGGAGGTCTTGGGATTCAAATGGGCCCTGGGTATTTATTTTCCACATTGCATAAAGTAGGCCTAATCAAGCCGATAGAAATTATTCAAATCTAGACTTCTCTGCCGGTATGCCCTCCATAAACATAGATGCCACCAGAAAATGCCCAGAACCGACAGTTTAAGCTTTGAGGTTTGTCTTTCTTTCCGGTTATGAAATTAACATATTACTGGGATCCCAAAATAGTTTCATTGTATGTATGATGCACTTTTAAACCCTGGCCACTGTCGTTCAAATTACACAGCATTCACTGTACAAATGTATTCCTTTCTTTTTGTTGTTGTTGTTTTTCTCGCTCTTTTCCTTTTCTAAATTACCATTATTGTTCTAGTGTGTTTCTCTTAACTGAAACTTTAAAGAAAAGAAGAAAAAAAACTTCCATTGTTTCTCTGTATATATGTATCCTAGCTCGCCCAGAGCCAACCACATCCCACCCCCACCCCCTCCTCTCCCAACCCTTTCCAATCCCTCCGCTTGTTCACGTTTGTGTCTCCGCTGACATTCCACAGACCCCCACATTAAAGTGATCGGCTACCCAGAGAACGTGAGCGCTGCCAAGTCCAAGATCATGAACGTTCTGGACACTAAGGTAAGAGCTTCCTTGCCCTGCTGTCGGGTACACACTTGTCCAACCAGTCGTGACTGCATGATTGGGTCGGACAGGAAAATATTATAGTTGGACGTTTAACGCATAGAGGGTGCGCATTGCGGTCATTCGACAACGCAGAAGGGGGAAAATCATAGTAAAGTTTTTCAATTCTGGTTTCTTTTTCTGCGACTTGACAAAAGCAGGAACCGCAATGCAGGCTATGAAATATGCAAATTCGTGCTTCTGGTTTGTACATGATTATTTAAATTGTGCTGCCACTTTGCCTCTGGTCTGCTACCCATCGGACGTGATATGTGCCCGCTGCGTATGTAAAAAGACAACACATCCACACAAAAAAGGATTATATAAAGACACAAAATACGCCCTAAGAAGGAAACGCAGAAATTCCGGCACTGCAATGCGCACGGGACAAACGGGGATCTACAAAAAAAAAAAAAAAAACTTTGACCTCAAATTCAGCTATGTTTTGACTTTAATTGAAGATATAGTATATGTAGCTTCATCTGTGCAAAATAGAATTATGCGTCCACCCCTTTAACGCGCCGGGCAGTAGTCCGACTCCCTCTGTAGCTGGAGTAGACGTCAACTGACTAAGATATATCCTTCAGGCCCTAAGTTATGGCCCACTCCGCTTTGACTTCCCGTGGTGTTGGGCAGGCAACATGCAGTGTTTGACGGGCGAACGGCCGATACATTTTGCTAATATAGCGGATATGAGAAGTTGCTGATTCCAACAGATGAACCTTGTGGTTATAGCCTTTTTTTATCTTAATTTTTTCCTCGTTGAGTTGATCTGCGAAGGTCACACATTGTTTCAGAGAGGCCTCCCATTAGATATTTGAGAATCTGATGCTAAATAAAGCATTTTTTGCATGGCTTTACTTATTGCACTTTGACCAGAAGCAACGAAAGTGGCATTGATAGCCTGTGGTTAGGCTACCGGACTCGTAATCGTGAGATTGCACGTTCGGGGGTTTAAGCCTCAGCTCGGTCCGAAGTTGTGTCCTTGGGAAAGGCACTTTACACGAACTTGCCACTTGGCTCGGTCTTTTTGGAGATGAACGTTAAACTTGGAGGTTCTGTCTCTTAAATAACCTTTAAATTGCTGATAGGGGCGTTAAACCTATACCATTTTTTTTTTCACCACAAATAACCGCTACCTCTTTTTTCGG